GATTGCCCCTCAGGAGTAGGGGGAGGTGGAGAAGCCCTGAGGGGCAATTAGGACCACCAGCTGCTGCTCACACCTGCTGATGATGCTGATCAATCGGGTGGCATCAGGAACCAGCAGCAGGTGTGAACAGCAGCTCTGTCGCCAGCAGCAGGTGGGAGTGGGGCAACACTGGCAGCAGGTGTGAGTGCCCAGTGGGACCACAGCACATGGAGCAAAGAATTTTCAGTAGCCACCAGAGGGTCGCCCTGATGACAGTGACCAGCGCCCTGCCTTGGTCTGGCACCCCCGCTCACCTGCTCCACCATCTCGGCACGGCCGACACCCGCCACGTTCCTCACTCTGCCACCTGCTGCTGACGTCCACCATGTTCCTCTCACACCCTCTGGTGGTCAGCGCATGTCACAGCAACCAGTTGTTTGGCCATTTGGTCTCTTTGCAGATTAGCCTTTCATTATAAGGATTCTGGTAATCCCCATGCACCTAGGGGGTAGCAACAGCAGCGGGAAGCATGTCTTCCCCGGGTTGGAGGACGATGGGGAAGGGCTGCTACCAGCGTCCAGGAGCTGGCACTGCCCCATGGAGCTGGCACCCTGGCAGGGACTGCCTGGCTCAGGCTGGGACCAGGGAGAGGGCGCAGGCCCTGCAGGGATGCTTCCTGAACAAGGGGGAGGAACACCAGGGCTTCTTCCTTCCTCCTGCCCACTTTCCTCCACCAGCGTCTCCCGTTGGCTGAGCCCAGACAGAAGCCGTGGGCAAAGGGACCCTGGGAAATGTAGTTTGCAGGAGGCAGAACAGGGAACAGGGGCAGAGCAAGACATTAGAAATAGGATCCTATTTATCAAAAAGATACTAAACGTCTTTAACCAGTGCTTAGGCCTGGTGCTGAGTGATTCATTTTCATTGCGTCCTTTAACCCTGTACTAAACTCCGAGGGAGAAGCTGTTCTTGTCCACATTTCACAGTTGAGGACATCGAGGCTCGGAGACGTGAAGAAATTAGCCCGAAGCCACCAGGACGTAGGCGGCGGGGCCAGGCCCTTGTGACCTCAGGGGAAGGCACGTTGGCCCCGTGGGAGGTGGGCAGGAGGACAGAAGTCAGGAGCACAGGCAACATCAGCTCCTCAGTGTTGGGCTGGAAGGGGCCCAGCTTGATCTGGGCCCACACACGTGGGCAAACACAGCCCGACCCTCCAGTGTCTGAAGGCATACGTCCATCAGTGCTTTCTTCCCAGCATGCAACGCTGCCTCTGCCAGGCGCTGTGCTGGGCACAGAGGACACAGGGGAGCGAGGCGGGCAGGGGAGCAGAGGTGCAGATCGCCATGCTGGAGGCACTGGAAGCATGGCAAGACCGAGGGTGGGGTGTGAGGAGGGAGGGGTGACGGATCCCCCAGCCGAGGCTGAGCAGGCGACCATGACTTCCCAGCTGCCCAGCCGGCTGCTCCCGCCCTGGTCCTGCCCTGGTCCTGCCAGCTGGTGCCCGACAGGAGAAGGAGGCCACCGTCCCGCCAGGGGCTCAGGAGAGCTGCAGGTCAGGGAGGAGCTGGGCTTGGCCTCCCAGGGGCACCCCCTCCCGCTCCCTCCGGGAAGAATTGGACTCAGACCACCAGGGCTCTGCTTTCCCTGAGGCCCTGCCTCTCTGCCTCCGTGCGTCAGGCTCGGGCTCCTGCTGCCCACCAGACAATGCCGAGGGGCCGCGCCTGAATGTCCCTCCTTTACCGGAAAGGTCAGCCCCTGGGGGGACGCGCCATCCTGGAACAGGAAGTCCGGTTTCCAGGACGCACTGCAATCTGGGCTCTATTTTTGGAACAATTCTAGGGGCTCCGGTTTCTTTAGAAAACTCAAATGAAATCCCGCAGGCCAGCGGACAAAGGAAGGGCTCAGCGCTGCTCTCTCATTGTCCCTGGTCCTGATCCTCCCTCCCCCGCCTCTCTCTCTCTCTCTCTCTCTCTCTCTCTCTCTCTCTCTCTCTCTATCCCTTTCTGCCCCCAGGCCTGGCTGCTGGGGGCCAGGTAACCCACCATCCAGGCTGCAGGGGGTTCCCAGCCTGTCGGACCCCCAGGCCAGGCCCAGACGGCCCCTCGTCCCTCCCCAGCGCAGCCATGGAGGAAGCCGGTCTCCCTTCCTCCTGCTCCCGGGACCCCGGGGCCTCTGCCCAGGACTCTCAGAGGCTCGTTTCCACACCCACAGCGCACACTCAGCCCCCCTCACAGGCTCACTCCACCACGGGAAACCTCTTGCATTTATAACTGCTTTATTTATTTTAAAACATTTGCAGCCCGGCCGCGTGGCTCCGAGGTTGAGCGTCGACCTGTGAACAGTTCGGTTCCCGGTCAAGGCACCTGCCCAGGGTGGGGCGTGCAGGAGGCAGTGGATCCATGATTCTCTCTCATCATTGATGTTTCATCTCTCTCTCTCTCTCTCTCTCTCTCTCTCTATCCCTTCCTCCCTGAGATCAATATAAAAATTTATATTAAAAATATCAATAAAAATATTTATTAAAAATGTTAACCATTTTTAGATTTAGGTAAAGTTCACACCCCACATCATGGGCCGTGCTCAGGGTGCCGCTGCGTGGCAGGTCAGCTTTCCACAGCGCAGTGCAACCACCCCCGCCCCTGGCTCTGAAACCTGTGGCAGCGGCCTGCGCCCGCCGCTCCCGCCGCCGGCTGCTTCCCGTGCCTGCGGGTGTTGCAGGCACGGGGGTTCTCGTGGGGCCGTGCTCGGTGGGCCCGTGGGGTCTGGCTCCGGGGCCTCGGCGGGATGTCTGTGCGGTGGGAGGGGGAAGCCGGGGCCACTCCACGGTCAGGCCGGTCCTGCTGCTCAGCTCACGGCCCCTGGACACCTCAGCCGGCCAGTCCCACTCACTCCAGGTTCTCGCCTTTGCCCACTGGGGTCAGACTTGCTCCCTTGACTCAGTTTCCCAGGCCCGGGGGCAGCTATTGCTGTATCTGGAGGGTGTTGGACTCTGTAACACCGAAGGCCAAGCCCAGTTCAGTTCTGGCCTCTGCGTGGGGTCGGGGGTGTCTCACGTGGTTTTGCAAAGGCCTGCTGGGTCCCCATAAACCCCGGGGTCCCCATAAACTGGCCGAGGGTGTGTGCACGGCGCCCCCTGGTGGCCACCATTGGTAGGAGGCATGGTCTGTGCTCTAGGCCAGTGTTTCCCAAAGTGTGGTACGCGCACCCCCAGGGGTCCAGGAAGAGTCTGGTGGGGGTACGCGTTGCACCGGAGTTTGGTGGGGATACACACTGCACCGTGCTTAGCTGCGCCTAATTCTCCGTTCTCGTGAGTACGAGGGGCGCTCAGCGTTACGAAAATTATAGAAGGGGTGCACCTATGTCAAAAGTTTGGGAAACACTGCTCTAGGCCAAGGTCAGCAGGAAGGTTTGGGCAGCTCTGGGCTCTTCCATGAGGAACAGCCCACCAGCCCGTGGGAGGGCATCGCCCAAGGGCTTGGGCGGGAGCAACGCCGCCGGGAAGCCAGGGCCCCGGGTCTTGAGGGGAACAGAGGTCGTGAACCCTGACCCGGCGCCCCTGCACTGGGCAGCTTGCTCCCTGAGTCAGTTCACCCCGAGGCGCAGTTTCCTCATCAGGCTCTCCTCTCCCGGAACTGCCGCAGGGCTCCGTGAGCCTAAGGGAGGCGAAACGCTCAGTCCGATGGACGGCGTGGCGGGGGAGCGCGGCCGTTACAGACCGTCTCCTCCCGGCACGGAGCCGCCACCGGCACCTGCCCCTCCATCAGCTGGCGGCCACCTGCCGGCAGAGGCCCCAGGGGCCCCGGGCACACGTGTGTCCAATGAAACGCATGTGGACGCCACGTATGTTCGTTCCCACACAATCCCACCAGGCAGCGAACCCGCCACTCCCTTCACGGGGAAGCTCCAGGCCCAGATGCCAGCTGGATCCCTTGGGTGCTGTGGTTCTGGCCGCGCTCTCTCCTGGGGGGGGGGGGGCTCAGAAAGGGCGGGAATCTTCTGGCAACCCACAAATCCACCTACCATACCTCCCAGCCCCACCGCTGCTAAACACGAGTGGCAGGAGGTCTCGGAACCCGTGGGGCCCCCTGACGGACGTTGAAAACCTGGGCGCCCATGGATGCGAAGGTGCCTTCGGGGGGCTCAACACCCCCAGCTAAGCGTTCTTCATGAGCCTTCCTTCCAGAAGAAGGCTCCAGCGAGGCTGTTCCCAACGGGCTGATAGCAACCACGACCCTTTGCTTAGGGTCACCTGGGTGCCAGGACCTGTGCCAGGCGGTGGCGTCACAGGGGCTGCTGGCCCTGCAAACAGGCGGACGCCCCTCCTTCCCCCCATGGCTGAGAGGCACCTGGGGCAGGTTCACCCATGGCGCTTTTGTCCAGCCCCCAGAGGCGATGTCTGGGCGAGGACCTCGTCTCTCTGGGCGCCCCCTGGGGTTCCCACCTTCACGCTCCTCCCCGCCATGGTCCCGGCTGCCCACGCTATTGGCCCCTAGCACTCCGGCTTCTCTCCAGGTCCCAGCACCGTGCAGCCGACCTCCCTCTCCCTCTCGCTGAGCCAGGGTGCTTGCAACCACCGTGTGCCCTTATCCTGGGACTTCAGTGACACGTGGCGCTCACACATAGCACCTGCCCTCCCTCATCCCTCCCTCCGCCTTCTCTTCGTCACCTGGAACAACCCCATCCTGAAGGCCACTCATTCAGACACCTGTGCCCACAGCTTCCCAGCTCTGAGCGGCTTCTGTGAGCGTCCTCTGTCCTGACATCCACAGGACTCGTCTGCAGCTCCGAGCTGTCCCCCAGCAACCAGCTCCCGCCTGGGACGTGCTTTTCTTCTTGCCTCTCCCCCCCTCCCCCTTCAGACAGCTGGCGCTGGGGCCCCATTCCCCAGATGAGACTGCGGAGGCTCAGAGAGGCTGGGGGAATCCCCGGTCCCTCTCCATCCTGGACGGAAATGCCTCCGGAGAGGAAACGGGGAAGGGCAGGCAGCGTGAGGGCCGGCCCTCCCAGAGAAACCACACACCGTGAACGGTAAAATAGCTCTTTAATTCACTTCGATTCCGGCCACTGCGAATGTCCGACAATAAATAAGACACAGCCCAGGCTCGCTCACTCCACGCAAATCGCACCCAGGCCAGTGCTGGGCTGTGAAATGCAGGAACCAGGCTGGGTGTTGGGGGCAGGGGGAGAAAACGCAAAATTTAAAACACCAACCGCCAACCCAAGGAGATTGCCAAAACAAAGGGAGGGGAGAAAGTGCCGGGAAACTTTGGCTTTGGCATGCCGTAACGGCGTGACGGGCATCCGGTGTGCCCACAGGCGGGTTCCTGACCGGAGCGCGGGGCCTGGGGCCGTGTGTCTGCAGGGGTCAGTGTGGCTGCAGGCGGCTCCTGTGCCGAGGCCTGGGGGACCTGAGGCTGGGGTATCCCTGAGCTCTCTCTGCCCTCACCTGCCACGGCCTCCTCAGCCTCAGGCTCCGTGGTTTGCTGTGGGCAGGGGCCCTCTTCCCTGCCTGGGCCGCCTCCTCTCCGAGCAGCCCTGTGTGTGGTGGACACCCCAGCACTGCCCCTGGTGGCTGATCCTCGTCCTCCTGCCCACAGCACCCCCATACGCCTCGTGAGAAACACGGGTCTGGTTCTCAGCCACTCACTCACCGTGGGGGTCCCGCTGGCCTAGGCCCATCGGGGGGTTCAATCCCAGCCTCAGCCTGTAGCTGTTCTGTGACACCCAGACGTCCTCAGCTCGCAGGAGGTGAGAGCGGGGGCGCCGTCCACTGCTCCGTCCAGTGACCATCTTCCTGGAGGCCTGTCCCTGGGACTGATGGGCCGCCAGACACTGGCTGAGGTCTTCCTGGCTCCCATCGAGGGTGGCCATGACCTCCAGCCCGGGAGGGTTCGGCCTCACAGGGATTCCGAGCCTGCACCACCGGGAGAGGGTGACGTTCGGGCGGATGTTAAAGCTGGAACCGGTGTGCAGGGTCTCTCACGGCTGCCTGGATCCCGCATCTCGGGGGGCTGTAAGTCCCCTGATGGACTCAACAGAAACTATGGCTTCCATGGACTCTTTCTTACAAGGTGCTCGACACCACCCCTGGCCCCTGAGCGCCCACAATCCCTCCCTCCCCGTGTGCAGAGGAAGAAACCGAGGCCAGGAGAGCAGGCCCCTGGCGTGCCCCGCCATTGCCATTGGGAGCAGCGGGCCTTTGGGGAAATGCTGTCTACGGGAAGAACGGCTTTCCTGATGGCACGTCAGTGATGGAGCCGACGGTTCCAGTCCTCCTAGGCCTGGACCTCACGTCTCGCCCGGCCCCTTGGGCTGGGAGGGGCCCAGCCGGAGGCTGAACCCACATTCGCAAGGAAGCCGGGCTGGGAGAGGAGGCGGCACAGGACATCACACCCACCGACCGACCTGATACCCCAGGATGTGCCCACCAGCGAGCCCCAAACCCCTGGCACCCGAACCCCCCCCCCGCCCCCCCGCCCCGAGCTTGCTGGAAGCCGCCCACCACGCAGCTGCCAGTGGAGCAGGAGAAAGGGAGCTGGAACCCAGGCCAGCGAGAGCCAAAAGTGCACACAAGGCCGGCTGGATGCAACCACGAACCAATAAATAATCAGGAGGGCAACGAGGAGGGCAGAGCGCGAATGAGGTATGACTGCTCCTCCGATGGCCCCCAGGATGCCCGGCCCCGCCACGCCTCGCCCCGGGACCTCACACAGGTGGACAGCAGGACCTGGGCCCGAGCGTGGCCCTGGGGGGAGACGCTGGCTGGTGGGACCCGCTCCGGGCGGGGGCCTGGCCGGTTACGGGCACAGAGCCTGACAGTCTGTGAACGTCAGAGAGTGTCCGAGAGGGGGGGACACCTGAGCTCTGCCCCACCTCAGGGCGGCTCAGGAACCTGGGGAGCCCCCAGCTGAGAGCGAGGGGCGCTGAGGGTCTCCTTTCCTGGCTGTGCCGGCCTCGGTCAGCCAGCCAGCCGGTGCCTCTCTCCCGGGGGCGGCAGGAAGGCACACGGCGTGGCCGGCCCTGCCCTGGGCCATCGCTGTCACCCCCGGGTGTTCCTCTCGAGAACAGCGTCTCGGGGAGAAGGAGGCATCTCTGCTGGACTCAGTCACGCCTGCCCGAGCCTGAAGGCCTTCGGGGGGCCTCTCCTGCCACCAGGACGAGTTCGGGAAACAAAGGGCGTGGGGTGTCGCCTGGCCCCCAGTGCGTGGCTGTCCGGAGGCGCCCCCGCTGGGAGACATCCGGCGAGAATCATAGTGTGGGCGTCAGCCCTGGGCGCCCCAGCAAAGGAGTCTCTGCCCGTCCTGCCTGGGAAATGTCCTTTCTTTTAAAACAGGGGGGCCTTCAGTCTCTGCCCCCCGACCCCCACCCCGTCTTCCGCAGCCGAAGCCGGAGGATGGACTTCCCCCGCGTCTCCGCCTTTTCCGGGCGCGGGGAGAGCCCTGAGGGCCGCCCCGCCGGCTCTCAGACTTGCCCTGCGGCCCCGTGACATGGCCGAGCAGATGCTGTCCAATGTCGGGGTGCGAGAGGCTGGCCCCGGGAGCCCCCGGGGCGGAAGGGACAGCCCCGGCGGCAGCGAGGAGCGGGGGGCCGCCGTGAGAGGCTGCGCTGGTGTGGCCGTCGCCCGCGCCCCTTCGCCGCGTCATCTCCCCTTGAAGATCCGGACTTTGTGGATGGACGCCAGGGCGCTGGTCACGTTGGACTCAAAGTCCCCGTCGTGCACCCCGGTCTTGCGGAAGGCGCCCGCCGACGGGTTGTTCTCCCAGTAATGGTGCCAGTTCCCCCTGCTGTCTGCCCCGAAGCCGTACAGGTCCACCTGCGGGCCAAGCAGAGGGCAGGGCCAAGCAGAGGTCAGGCGGGCGGCCGGGCGGTGGGCAGAGCCGGCAGGAGAGGAAGCCGGCAGGCACCCCACACCTGCACACCCCTTTCCGGGGAGCACAGACCCCTCTCTAGCCTCCCGGGACTCCCCGGGGTGTGGGGATGAGTAAAAGTCAAGTTCAAGTTCGTGTCGGAAGGCTCCTGGGAGGGGACTGCACGGGGCGAGTTCTCGCCTCTGGGGCAGTCCCACCTCCTCTCCAAGGACCAGGGTGCCGGGGAAAAGGAGCACCCCAGCCCTGCCACCCCCCTGGAGGACCCTGCCCATGCTGCATCCCTTCTCTGGGCCTCACTCTCCTCATCTGGAAAATGGGGCCAAGAGTGGCATCCACGGGGAGGCCAGGGTCCTTTCGTCCCTCAGGCTGAGCTCCATCTGCCGGGCCCCCGGCCTGGCCAGCGGTCGGGGCCATTGTTACGTGGCCGGTTTGCCGAGTCCTCCTCCTGCTCCTCTGGCCCGGAGGCAGGGAACAGCCGGGACTGACCAGGGTGGGAACCTTTGCCCTGCCAAGGGCCTTTGGATGCTTATAACGTCGTCATTTGTGGGCCATACAAAAGCATCAACTTAAAAATTAGCCCGGCCGAAACCGGATAGAGCGTTGCCCTTTGGACTGAAAGGTCCCAGGTTCGATTCCGGTCAAGGGCATGTAGCTTGGTTACAGGCACATCCCCAGTGGGGGGTGTGCAGGAGGCAGCTGATCTGTTTCTCTCTCATCAACGTTTCTGACTCTCTATCCCTTCCTCTCTGTAAAAAATCAATAAAATATATATATTTTTTTAATTAGCCCGCTCTGTTTGGTCAAACATCTCATTAACTCGCCACTAATGCCTTGGCAGGGTCAGACTCCATGATTTCTTGGGCCTCATATGGCCTCGGGGCCGGACATTCCCCACCCCTGGCCTACATCACCGGCGGAAATCCGGCGCCCCCTGGTGGCTGTCGAAGGAGGCCCAGGAAGGGAACACACTTCCCAAGCTCCCGGCAGTCCATCTGCAGGGGCAGTGGGAGCCCTGGGTGCCTGGCTCTCAGGCTCAGAGATGCTGGCGGGAGTGGGCAGGGTGGCCTGAGAGCTGGGCTCTAGCTCTGAGGTGGGAGCCGCAGCCTCACCCAGGTCTCCCATGCCAACAGCTCCTTTGTTTTGCCCCCCAAATTGGCGCTTCCCCCCATTGGTCCTGGGAGCCTAGGGAGCTCACACAGAATGAGCAGAATGTGCTCCTGGGAAGGTGCTTGGAAACCACTGCTCCTCCTTAAAGCACCTGAGAGAGGCCTGCCAGACCCCAGCGGCTGGAGTCAAGGTCAGCCCCAGCACAGATGCTCTCATAGGGGCTGGGGTCAGGGTCAAGGTCAGCCGGACCCCAGATGCTCTCACAGGGGCTGGGGTCAGGGTCAAGGTCAGCCCCAGCACAGATGCTCTCATAGGGGCTGGGGTCAGGATCAAGGTCAGCTGGACCACAGATGTTCTCATAGGGGCTGGGGTCAGGGTCAAGGTCAGCCCCAGCACAGATGCTCTCATAGGGGCTGGGGTCAGGGTCAAGGTCAGCCGGACCCCAGATGCTCTCATAGGGGCTGGGGTCAGTGTCAAGGTCAGCCGGACCCCAGATGTTCTCATAGGGGCTGGGGTCAGGGTCAAGGTCAGCCCCAGCACAGATGCTCTCATAGGGGCTGGGGTCAGGGTCAAGGTCAGCCGGACCACAGATGCTCTCACAGGGGTTGGGGTCAGGGTCAAGGTCAGCCGGACCACAGACGCTCGCATGGCCTCTCGGGAACAGCGACGGAGGGGCCCTGGTGCCCGGCTGGGCCGGCGGGGCCCGGGGGAGGGCGTACCTCGTCGCAGACGTGCAGGGAGAAGATGACGGAGAGGATGCCGGTGGACGGGTAGCGGCCGTGGCCCTGCAGCCAGCTGTCGAAGACGTACTTGATGAAGGCCGGGTGGTAGACGAGGATCTGCGGGGAGCACACAGCCCTCCCTCAGACAGACGGCCGGGGACAGACACACCGCCTCCCAGGGCCACACGCTGTGGCCACGGGGACACACATGACGGGAACAAGGCCCCAGCACCCGGAGGGCTGCATGCTAGCGGGAAAGGCAGACAGGAGCCTCGCTGTGAAGCGCCAGAAGATGCTGGGAAAGAACTCGGGGCCAGGGAGGCAGGGAAACCCTGGGGCGGGGAGAGGGGAGAGGGAGAAGGCTCGCTGAGCAGGGATGTCTCAGCCACACGAGGCCGGGCTGAGCGAGAGGATGCGGCTGCAGGAAAACTCATGCACAAACCACCACCCACCTGGTCTGGGCCCAAAGGGTCCCCCGTCCCTAAAAGGACCCCCTGTGCTAGCTTCCCCCTTCTGCTGCAGAGGAGGAAACTGAGGCTCTGGGAGCCTTAGCAATGCGCTCAGGGCCACACAGCCAGCGGTGGCCGAGTGGGGGCGTCCTGGTACCAGGCAATGCCTTGGTGCCGCTACTCATGGCAGCTTTGAGGGGACTTGCCGGCAGCAGAGGGCAGGCATGTGCAGGAAGCCTAATGCAACCCCTCCCCGCACCCCAAGAGCTCTGGAGGGGACCCTGTGCTCGCCGCGGGTGACCCCTTCCGCCTGCAGCCTAGTGGTTTGCCACTGCCTCCCTGAGGACCCCAGTTCTGTGTGACCCCAAACCAGCTGTGGGTCCCGGGCTCGTTGCCTGACCTCTCTGACCCCAATCTACTCATTTAAATAAGAGCATGCAGGTCTGGCTGGCATGGTGCAGTGGTTGAGTGTCAACCTATGAACCAGGAGGTCAGGTTCAATTCCGTCAGGGCACTTGCCTGGGCTCTGGGCTCGACCACCAGTATGGGGTGCGCAGGAGGCAGCCGACCAGTGATTCTCTCTCATCACTGTTATTTCTCTCTCTCTCCCTCTCCCCCTCTCCCTCTCCCTCTCCCTCTCCCTCTCCCTCTCCCTCTCCCTCTCCCTCTCCCTCACTCTCTGAAATCCATAAAAATATCTCTCTATATATATATAAAAAGCTAAGAGACCGTCTGACCAGTAGCTATGAGGCCAGATGCTGGTAGCGGGGAGGGCACCCTCCCCACCACGTCCCACCGGGCAGAGCATCTCAGGGGGAGCGGAGCGCCACTCACCTGCTCCTTCTTCACTTTGATCTTCGCAGGGACAGGGATGTAGGTGCTGGGGGGCAAGAGCAGAGGGTCAGCGTGGGAGGGCTGGGCTGCTGCGGGCAGCTGGGGAGGGGGGACTGAGAGGGAAGCAGGGCCAGGCTGAGTAGGCAGACAACTGCCCTGCCACAGACCCCTGCCACAGCACAGCCTCCCCTCCCCCAGCCACAGCCCCCCACAGCCCCTCCACAGCCCCCCCACAGCCCCCCACCACAACACAGCCTGCCCCCCACCCGCACCAGCCACTGGCCCCTGCCACAGCCATGCAGTGGCCCATTACAGACACCAGAGGGCGATCTTGGCTCATTCCAGGGCCTTCTGCTATGTATGGGCCTTCTCCCAGAAAGGTTAAGGGGACCTGCTCCAAGTCCACTCCCTCCGCCCCCCCCCCCCCCCCACCACACACACACACACACACACACACACACACAGCCACACACACACACAGCCTAGAGAGCCAGGGAGGCCAGGGCATCCACCCCCACCCCCATGTCAGGGTTGCTGGCTGAAGGGGCCACACTGCCTGCCTTTCATCGGAGGGTCAGGCCTGCATCTTGGGGGCTCACTCTGGCTCTGACTCCTGCACAGCTTATGCTCCGGCACGCAAGACCCGGTGGGATTCCCTGCCCCAGCGCCTGCCTCTCTCCCGCCCGCCCTCCTTTCTCCTGGGAGCACAGCACCCGCCATTCCCCCTCCCCATCCTGCACCGTCCACACGGGCCTCCCACGGGCTCGGCCCCTGGACATGGGAGCACTTCTCTCCGGAGCAGCAGGGACTTGGGAAGGGGGACCGGGGGCGAGCCTGGCTCGGGCAGAGGCCCGCCTCCAGCACGCTATGGCCAAGCCTCACGCCCTCCCTGCCGGGACGAGGGCATGAACCCCACAACTGTGACCATGTGGTTAGACGCCACATGCCCGCGTGTGTGGTCGGGAAGACGTGTGCTCACGAAGGACGACCCATTCCCCAGCCGACACGCTCGGCACCCATCCTCCACCTGCGCCCGCCCACCAGCGCCGCTTAGTGGGGCAGTCGGCTGTCCGGAGGAGCACAGAGGGAGGGGCTGGAGCTAAGATGCACCGAGCCCTTCCCAGCGGCCCTGTCCCCGGGAGTTGCCGGGTTTCGGGGCAGCACAGCGTGTGGCCTGCTTGGGGGTCAAGGGGAGGAACAGGCGGAAGTCCGGGGTGTCAGAGGGATGGGCGGTGCGGGGCCAGGGAGGGGGGAGGCGGACGTGGCCTGTGGGCTGGGCAGCGGGTGGATCCCGGGAGGAAGCACGGGGAGGGCCGCACGTATGGCAGGGAACAGCAGGGAACAGCACGGTGGGCGGCCAGGAGACGCCGCAGGGCAAAGGGGAGCTGCCTGGCCCTCCTCCACCCTCCGCCCTCCGCCCAGCGCCCCGGGGGACCTACTGGGAGATGGTGCCCGTGGTGGTGGCGCTGACCACCCACTGCAGGTCCAGCGTCTTGAAGGGGACCAGCACCATGCTGACGTTGTCCGCCAGCTCCCGGAAGCTCTCGGGGTACACGAAGTGGTGGGTCGTCTTGCTCCCCACGTCAGCCTCGAACCCGGCGGTGGGGGCCTTGTTCATCCTGGGGGAGAGGGGGAGACGCACACGCCTGGCTCACATGGCCCCAGGTCCCAGGGCCGCTGAGACCAGGGCCGGCGCTAACTCCGCGGCCGCCTCGTCTGTGCAGGGGGCACAGCGAGCATGCCAGGCGGCTCCGGGACCTGCGGGCTCTTCCTTTTAGGAGCTCCAGTGCAGGAGTCTGAGCCCGGGGCCCTCCGCGGCGGAGGGGCCAGCTGGGGAAACCGCAGCGACGGCCTGGCCAGCGGGTATTTCACGGCCGAAGAAATCTGAGCACAGAGGGTGGACACAGAGCCACCCGGCAGCCCGGACTCGGGTCTGCCTGACCCTGAACCTGACTGTGCCCTTACCACGGACGGCCCCACTGAACCAGGCGTACGCGGAGGCTCCGGGAGGCCAGCTGAGGGGTCTAAAGCTCTGGTCGGCAAACTCATCAGCCAGCAGAGCCCAATGCCAACAGGACAACGACTGAAATTTCTTTGGAGAGCCCAATTTTTTTAAACCTAAACTTCTTCTAACGCCACGTCTTCAACATAGACTCTCGCCCAGGTGTTTTGTGGAAGAGCCGCCCTCAAGGGGCCAAAGAGCCGCATGTGGCTCGCGAGCCGCGGTGTGCCGACCACGGGTCTTAAGGACGTAAACCCAGAGATCACGGGGACGGAAGCTTCTAGAAGGCACCTGGCGCTCACCAGCCCCTTCCCCCACCCCCTCGCTGCTGCTGTTTCCCGCTCCGGGCTGCATGGGGACCGGAGGTGACAAGGAGCCCAGAGAGGCCTGGAGCATCTTCCTGGAACCCCTGCCCGCATGGCGACAGGAAAACAGATTTCACTGGAGCAGCATGCAGGTCGCAGAACGGGATGGATGGTACAGACCAGAGGAGTCTGGGAGTGAGCCTGGCCGTCCCTCCAGGGCTCTCGGTGCCAAGCTGCGCCCGCTGCGTCCAGAGAGGGCCGTGTGTGTGTCTCCACCCGGCAGGGCGGATGGGGACACCGAGGCCCCGAAGGTCTGTGCCCAGGGGCTCACCTCAGCACGAAGTCGTGGCTGTCGATGTGCGGGCCGTACCAGGACGCCCGCAGGTTGCCGGAGTTGCCCACGACGGCGCAGCGCCGGCAGCCCACGGCCTTCTTCTCCAGCAGCGGGTCCACGCCGCCCGGCACCACCTCGAACAGCTCCCTGAAGGTGGCGTTCAGGTCCTGGGGCTGCTTCTCCCCCTGCAGCCTCTGCGGCCGAGGACAGAGAAAGGTGGGCGGTGGGCGGGCGGCCGCACGGCCTCCGGGGGGACGCGGGACGGGGGGCGGGGCGGGGGCCGGGGCTCTGCCCATGTCCCGTGACAGACGATAGATTTGGAAAGGTAGAGCACGCAGCCCGGCCATGTGGCTCAGTGGTTGGGTGTCAGCTGATGAACCAGGAGGTCATGGTTCGACTCCTTGCCCAGGGTTGCAGGCTGGATCCCCAGTGCGGGGCGTGCAGAAGGCAGCCCATCGATGATTCTCTATCATTGATGTTTCTCTCTCTCTCCCCCTCTCTCCCTTTCCCTTCCTCTCTGAAACCAATAAAAACACACTTTAAAAATAAAATAAAATAAATAAAATAAAATAAAATAAAATAAAATAAAATAAAATAAAAAAGGCAGAGCACGCGTACAATGAAATATCACTCAGCCACAGGAGGAGGACATGCGGACACACCTGCAGCAGGAGCAAATGGACCCCGAAAAGATGCCGAGACAGAGGACAAACACCGCGGTCCCTCTCACTACGTGAGGGTCCGAGGAGTGAAACTCATGGGCAGAGAGGGGAACGGGTTGCCAGGGTGTAGGGGGCTGCGGCCAATGAAGGGGGTTAGGCAGAGTGTCGGGGGGATGCTGGGAAAATGCTGGGTGCAGGAGGGGTGATGGTCACGTGACACGGGATGCATGCAATGCCTCTGAGCTGTGCACGGATACATGGCCCTGAGGAGGAGTATTAGTTCCTCACCATCAGAGGGAACCCGGGACCTGGCGACTGTGCTCGTCCTGGCCCGGCCGGGCAGGGCGGGGTGGGGCCCACATCCTGCTGTCTGACCGGCTCCCGGGCACAGGGCTGCCGCTGCCGCCGTGGGCTTACTCCCTGAAACCCCTGGGGGAGTGGCCGCAGCCAAGCTCGCCTGCAGGACTCCCTCCGAGATCCCCCCGGGAGGGGCCCCTGTGCGCCCCAACACTTCCAGGTGTCCAGGACCAGTGTCTACACAGAACCCTCCGTTCTCGTCTATATACATAGCACATCCTCAACAAGCAGGTGGTGTGCGTGCGTGTGCGTGCGTGTGTGTGCGTTAATCCCCACCTGAGGATTTTCCCATGCTTTTTAGAGAGAGTGGAGAGAAGGGGGAGAGACAGAGAGGAACATCGATGTGAGAGAGACACATTGATTGGTGGCCTCTCTGCCAAGACCGAGGAATCCGAGCCTGCAACCCAGCCACGCTCCCTTGACCGGACTCAAACCCGGGACCCTTCAGTCCACACGCCGACGCTCTATCCACTGAGCCAAACCGGCCAGGGCAATCGTTTTTGCATGAGTGAGTGAATGAATGAATGGCCAACATTGCAACTCCTGCAGAGCACCTGGCAGGGCCCCAGGCGTGTACTCAGGTGCCAGGGGCCCCCACTCCCCACCCCCTCCCCCCCCTCGGCCGGCGCACTCACCAGCCACCACGGGTAGGTGTCTTCGTACAGGAACGCGTTCTGCGCGGTCAGCAGCGGCTGCATGGACTGGTTGAACCTCTGGTCGAACCAGGCGGAGACCCGCCGCTGGCCGACGCAGCGGGCGCAGGTGCAGGGCCGGCGCGGGAAGGCCACCAGCCGCCGGAAGCTGTCGGAGAGCTCCAGGACCAGCTGCCGGGGCAGCCAGGCCGTGGTGGCCACCGTGTGCGAGTAGCTCAGGAGGAAGGAGGTGAGGAAGGCGAAGAGGACGAGGAGGGTGAGCACCTTGAGGGTCCGCCTCCTCAGGGTCACCATGGCTGCTGCTTCCCCCACGGGGCTCCCCGGCGAGGAGCTGCAGGAGGTCACGCCCCGCTTGGGAGGGACGTGGAAGGAAAATCCTGGACAAGGCGAGGCGTGGGTGTCCAAGGAGGGCGGGGGGCGGGGGGCGGGGGGGCCCTTGAGGCTGGCTAGGGTCAACTTCACTTCCGCCCGGCGGATGGTCACCAGTCACCCTCGGGCACCGGACATCACCCTGTGACCCTCGGAGGCCAAGGGGTCACTCGGGGGGCGGGATGCCTCTTCTGGCAGCGAGTCTGTCTCTTGCAGAAGATAAAGGAGCCCGCCGCATCCGCAATCCCCGACCAGCCAGTCCTGTCTCTCCCCGGAGAGCGATAATCCGACGTGAGACCCGAGATCGCCTTTCCCAGCCAGAGGGGCGGAGGGGCAGTGGCTCTGGGACGCGCCAGTCCCGCCGGGGGAGGGCCTGGGAGGCAGGGTCACGGTGCGGGGCCAGGAGCCGCCTTGCCGCCGTCCTCCGTCCGTCCGTCCGTCCGTCCGGGATGGCTGTCTGTGTGCGCCGTGTGTGCTGATGCCGTCAGAGCTCAGTCTGACCCCGCGGCCACCAGGGTCGTGGCCACGGGCGGTGGGCGTGGCGAAGGCACCGAGGGCTGTCTGTCATCTGCACAGAGGAGGAGGAAGCAACACAGGATGAGGTTCTAGTACCTGTTATGACACCCTGGCTGGTGTGGCTCAGTGGACAGAGCATCAGCCTGGGGCCTGAAGGGTCCCAGGTTCAATTCCCTGTCAGGGCACCTGCCCGGGGTTGCGGGCTCGGACCGCAGTGGAGGGCGTGCAGGAGGCAGCCGATCAGTGATTCTCTCTCATCGCTGATGATTCTATTCTCTCCCAAGCCCTTCCTCTCTGAAATCAATAAAGATATATTTAAAAACAAACAAAAAAACACACAGCAGCTTGTCCACCTGAGCCAGATTAACCTTCCAAGAGCGGCTCACGCTGCTTTCCCCTGGCCAGCAGGGGGCGCCCCCACCCCTCTTACCATAGGACTTGGTAAACTCCCGACTTTCACAGGCAGGGAAGGCAGGCGCCTTTGCTCCAGTCTGCCTGGGGCTGGCACGAGGAAGTCGGGGTCCCGCTGGCCATTGTGGGGGATCCGCGCAGGGCGGGCGGCCAGGCAGGACCAGCAGGGGGCACTGAGTCCCTGGCGGAGCCGCACCTGCAGCCCACTCCCCCCACGCGCTGACCTTTCAGGCACGTGAGACAATAAGTCTCCTTTATGGTGTAAAGCAGATTATGTGCAACTTGAAGCAACACAACGGCGCCTCAGATCACACTTGCTCCTGCCTCCGGGCTCCTGGCCCCGCTGGCCCCGCTGGCCCCGCTGTCCAGAACAGCCACCCACCCTCCTCGGGTCCCGCTCATTCTTCAGGCCTGAGCTGGCGCCGACTCCGGGGGGGAGAGGCCTGCCCACTCCTGGCGTCCGCAGCGCCTCGGCTCCCGGGGGCCTGCTCTGTTTCCGCATCTGCCTCCCCCCTCCCGGCGGGCTCCGAGAAGACAGAGACTCAGCCTCACGCTCCGTGGGCCCGACCCCTGGCACACCCGTGGCAACAAGGCAGGCAGGCGTGGATGAGGGAAAGGCCAGCGCTGGCACCTCACAGGTTTCTCTGAGCCAGAAAGTGCGGACTACATCCGAGGATGCCCGGCCCCACCGGGCTGCACCGCCGGTGTGCTGTGTGGCTGGAAGAAGCGACCGGACCTCTCTGGGCCATCCCTTGAACCCGAAAAGGGGCCGAGAAGAGAGATGCTGCCCACTCTCGGGGCTGTCAATCACGCAGCCACTCACAGCATAGGTGCTGGGCCCCGCGGGGGGCTAGGAGGCCGAGATCCAGCAGAGATGACTCTAAGGTGGGAGCTCCCGGGGCACCTGGGAGGCCCAGCGCCGTGGGAGGAAGGAGGCTGGTGGGCCTGGCCAGTGGGGGGCGGTAAAGAGGAGGGGGAGCAGGTACGTATTTGCGGGAGGGAAGCCGTTCCCGAGACCAGGCTGTCTCTGCGGGACGGAGCCCACTGCAGGGTCTGAGCTGAGCAGGGAGGGACAGGGTCTCCCTGTGTTGGCTGTGGTGATGGGCGGGGCCCTGTGTCCCAACACCAGGCCCGAGACGAATTCACGTACACAGATGCCTGTGAGCCACACGGAGGGATGGGCCTGGGATGGGAAGATGGGCCGGTCACCCACCATCTCCTGGCTGCCTGTGGGATCCAGATGCCCGCAGTAGGCACTGGGGTGGAAGGGGCCGGAGGGTGAGTGAGGCTGAGCTGCAGAATGGGGGGGAGAGGAAGGGAGGGGGCGACTTAGAGGGACACGGGGACACCCTCCCCTCTCCATCGGGCACAACCCAGTGGCACCACCTCCCGGCCGGGGTGCCCATGGGCTCCCACCCCCGGCAGAGGCGCGGGAGCTGGTAACAATGAGGCTTTCAATGGCCCTATAAAGAATTATGGTGGAAAAGCAGGAACACACCCGCCCCGCCCCGGCTCGGAAAAGGAAGGAGGCGAGCATGACTTCCCTGTTCTCTGTTAGGTGGGGCAGCCCGGCACACACAGGGAGCGCCAGCCCTGGCACGGAACCTGGGTCAAGACTCACGGGCCAAGATCTCTGCTGCCAAGTGTGCCTCATCTCAGCAAGCAAAGGGGGAGGGGGGGAGGACACACGCTCTCCCTGTCCTGTCTGCAGCAGTGGATCAATGGCGATAGAGGGCGGCAATGGCCTGCCACGAATGACCTGTGCAACAGGCATGGCTCCGTGGCTGAACGTCCACCCTGGAACCAGGAGGTCACGGTTCGATTCCCGGACAGGGCTCCATCCCTGGTGGGAGGCGTGCAGGAAACAGTGGATCCATGATCCTCTCTCATCATTGGTGTTTCTCTCTCTCCCTCCCCCTCCCTCTTTCTGAAATCAATAAATACATATACACACACGGAGTGGCCAGATGATGATGGTCTCTGAACACATAATAATCTGGCCACTCAGTGTATATCCTATATAATAACAAGCTAATATGCAAATTGTCCCCTCAACCAGGAGCTGGACCAGCAGGCAGGCCGGCCATCCACCCTGTCCCCTACCCCTGGCCAGGCTGGCCAGACGCACCCATACCTGAATTCATGCACCGGGCCTGCATTCAGAGATCATCATAATGTGGCCACTCAGTGTGTGTGTGTGTGTGTGAGTGTGTGTGAGTGTGTGTGAGTGTGTGTGTGTGTGAGTGTGTGTGTGTGTGAGTGTGTGTGTGTGAGTGTGTGAGTGTGTGTGAGTGTGTGTGTGTGTGTGAGTGTGTGTGTGTGTGAGTGTGTGTGTGTGAGTGTGTGTGAGTGTGTGTGTGTGTGTGTGAGTGTGTGTGTGTGTGTGTGAGTGTGTGTGAGTGTGTGTGAGTGTGTGTGAGTGTGTGTGTGTGAGTGTGTGTGAGTGTGTGTGAGTGTGTGTGAGTGTGTGTGTGTGTGTGAGTGTGTGTGTGTGTGTGTGTGTATGTTTTTATTTTATTTTTAAGAGAATTGTTTCAGATACTTGGAAAACCCACGGAATGGACAGTGTGGGCTTTTGAATGCGGAGCAGCCGCCTGCTGGACTGGGCAGCCTCTGTCATGAGGCCGGGCCACCCTCCCAGCTCTGCGTGGAGCCCCCTGCACTACAGGCGCCGGTGAGATGACTGAGCCAACGCTGCCGACGGGCGGTGACGTGAGCACTTCGAATGCCGGGCAGTCACCGCTGCCCGCCCTGTCATCCTCACATCCGCTCAGGCCCATCTCCCTGAAATGGGAAACGGAGACCCAGAGCCCGCAGGCAGCTTGTTCACGGTCACACAGGGAAGCGGAGGCCAAGCCCGCGCGCAGAGCCACGCCTCCGCCTCCTCCCGGGTCTCTATGCGGCCACAGAGAGTCCTCCCACTCCACCAAGACCTGCTCTCGTTGTCCCCGTTTTCTGGACGTTTCTTTTTGGGCCGGAAACCCGTTGTCTGCCCAGCCTCTTCAGGTGGATCCTGCCGTGGGCCTCCTCTCTCTGCCGTGTCCGGTGTGCTGGAGTCACCTACCCCATCCCTGCCGGTTCTTGTAGTTCCCGGTTCTGGCATTTCCACCGGAGCACTTTCTGTCTGCGTGGTGGTTTCCGGTGAAATTCCCCATCCTGTCATCCATCTCCCTGCAGCAATGGCCGCGGGCATTTTACAGCTGGCGTCTGTGCCTGCGACATCGGGGTAACGTGCGGGTCTGCTTCTGCCGTCTGTTTTCGCCCTTTGGCCGTGTGGTTCCGGCCTTGGCCTGGTACATGCGTGGTACATGTGTGGTACATGCGTGGCAGGTGCGGACACGGTGTAGGGCAAACGCGCAGAGGCCCTGGCTGCGGCGGTCCTCGTTCCGGGAGGAAGCTGTTTCCGCCTGGTGGGCAGGGAGGGCAGGGGCACGTGCCCTGGGTCCCCTTGGTGGGCAGGGTGATGGGGCCGGCTCCTCAGTCCCCTGGGATGGCCGGGCATTTCGGGGTTGTGCCCACCGATGGGGCACAGCCTTCTCGGAGCCTGGCTTCTGTGCCCGCTGTAACCTCCAGTTCCTTATCTCCCTGCCGCCCTGGGCGGAGAGGCCAACAGCTCCGTCTGGTCCCGGAGCCTCGCGGCGGCTGTTTTTGGCTCGGCCCTCGGGCTCGGGGTCCAAGCACCTTACGCCCTGGCAGACGCCTCCAGAGAAAAACGAGGTGCAGCACGCCGAGTTCCTCCCCGTCTCTCCGCGCGGGGGGGTGCTCCGGTCCTGGGTGTCGGCTGGCCTAGCTGGCCGTCCTGACCGCGGCCTTTACCTGCGGTGTCCGACTCCCCGCCTGGTGACCCCGCCCAAGACCGGCCTCCGCTTCTTCCTCCGGAAGCGGGCCCCGATTTCCCCGCGCTGAGCTGAGAAGGGCTGGTTTCCGTCCGACCCGGTCCGGCAGGGGGAGCACCGAGCGGCCTGGCCCGTCACAGGTGCCCCTGAATGTGGGGTTTCCTCACCGAACCCCTAGCGGTTTCTGTCTTTCCGTTCTGAGTGACAACGAACACCCCGCCCCACCCTTTCTGCCCCCTTGATTGAGGGAGGTGGAGGCTGAGCTCAGAAAGAGGGAGCTATTTTGCCAAGGACGCACAGCGAGAGGGGGGTGGGAGCTGAGGGGAGAGCCGGCCCCGGACTCCAGAAGGAGGAGCTGCGGTGGCCGGTGTCTGGTGTCTGGTGTCTGGCCCTCCCCGGGAAGGAGCAGGCGGGACGTGGGCTGAGAGGGAACTGGGAAAAGCAGGGGCAGGCAGAGCTGGGGACGGGGGAGAGGGGAGGGGAGACAGCCAGGGCGGGGCCTGCAGGGAAACTGAGAGGCCGTGACCTCCGGGATGTCCCGTCCCTCATCCGGACAATGGAGGCTAATCGCCGTCCCTGCCTCCGAGGCGGCCGAGCAGAGCGGGCTTCAGCTCAGCGTCTGTTACCAGGAAGGACAGACGCCGCTCACAAGGCTTTCCCTCTGCCAGCCATTGTTCTGGGTCACCCCGCCTGGGCTCAGGACAATCGCCGTCCGGAGTTGGGTTGTATCTCCACCTTCCAGAGGCGGCCTCCGAGGCCCCGGGCAGCCAGAGAGCTGCCAGGAGCCGGAGCGCCAGCCCAGGCGGGGCCCAGCGAGGCGTGTCCCCTGGGGCTCCTGCCTGCCCTGAGCCTGGCCGCTGAGGGGCGGGAGAGGGACGGGAACCATCCCCACGTGCAGACGGGGTTTGTGTGTGGCCCTGCTGAGCCCCACCCGCTGAGTCACCCCGAGCCCCACTGAGTCACCCCCGAGCGGGTCTCTGTGCTCCTGCCGCTCAGACCCGGATGGACGGACGGGCTCTACCTCCGTCCTCCCGGCTTGGGAAGGACCAGCCGCAGCTGCAGCCACACGGGACCCTCCGGAAAACAGCATCGGAGAGAAGCCACAGCGTCACAGAGAAGCCACCGGGGGGAGGGAGCCGGGAGAGGGGGCAGTTCACAGGGGTCACTCCCTGTTCCCCAGGGACCAGCTCCAGACGGAGCACCAAGGGCCCTGGAGATACAGCGGTGGCAACTGCAGGGAGAGAAGGCCCAGCGGGGGCGCCGTGGAGCCGGGCCTTTGCCGGTGATGGAGAGAGCAGAGAGAATGGGGTGAACCGGGCGGCGGTGCAGGTGATGGGGGCGCCTGGCACAGCCAAGACGAGGAAGGCGCCCTGCAGAGCGGCTGCGGAGGGCGGGGGCAGGTCACGAACGTCTGCAGCAATGGGCACGTGGGGGTGAAGGCAACGGGGAGCCACAGAGAGTCCGTGAGCAGCAGAGGTGATGGCACGAAGGCTGGACCGGCAGGGGTGCACAGACACCCCTGGAGTGGGAGCTCGTCTCCTTTGGGGGCCGCAGTGTCCCCACACCTGCCGGCAGCCTGGGAGGGCCTGTCTCGGGGTGCAAATCCTTCCCTCACGCACGCCTCCCGCTGGCTCCTGCGGGAGGAGCTGCAGAAAGAAAGGTCCCTGCAGCTCACCCCCCAGGTGTCCCATCCATTCCCGCTCTCGGCTGCACCCCGACTGCTCTTCATCGGGGTCCCTGTTCAGCATCATGTTTGCAGCAAGAAGTCCCGCGGTCTGGGCCAGGCGCCGGGAGGAGCGCCCCTCGGAGACACGATGAGCGGGGATCGGGGTCCTATGGCACGGAGCCGGGGCCTGCTCATGCTCGGAGCCGCACACAGGAATTTAAATCCTCCGACCGCCTCTGGGAGGCCCGAGGGCGCCGCACTCAGACGCCGGCAGCACCCGGAGCGTGAAATGCGGAGGAATCCGGGGAGGCCCGTGCTGGCGCGCCCAGGCCGACAGCTGCCCCGGGGGGACAGGAAGGGGGGATGGCCCCGGTGTGGGGGTGCAGAAACCATGACAACCATAGACCCCCCTCAGCCGCCTCCCACCTCCGTCGTTGGCAGGCACAGGAGGCTCGGTGCTTTCGATTCGCTGCACACGGTGGACTCGCCCAGCGCGGGGTCCCTGGTCTGTGCTGCAACCCATCCCGTGTGCCGGCGTCGGCCGGGACCTGTGGCTGGTCCTGGAGGGCGCTGGGTGGAGGGGGAGCCGGCACACACCTGGAGCTCATGCTGCGGCTGCGCCTGAGTGACCACGTCCCCGGTCCCTGACCCGGGAGTCCCGTCTCCTGCCAACGCCCAGAACCACTGCCCATCAGGCTTCTCAAGGGAGAAAAACGTGAATCCAGGCGGAACCCCTTTTCTGTCGTGTGTCCCCGGACAGAAGGAAGTCACATCGATACAAGGTCCTCGCTGATGGAGTGACCTTCCTGTTCCACCGGGTGAGCCTCCCGTCCCCGGAGCTTCCCCCGCCCCCCTCCCACTTCCCAGAATTCATAGGGGACTCCGACCTGTCCTGTGACCTGGGCAGGAGGGAAACCTGATTTGATTTTAACAGAGCCATTAGCGCTGGTTAGTAAACACAGAACATATTAACCCAGTGCTTTGGGGGCGGGCCTCGGGGAGAACAGAAAACAGAGGGAGGTGAGAGTGTCTCGACATTTGCGTTTTTATGGCTGGAGGGCGATCGGCAAGAACTCTCTGGAATTCGGCCAAATGGAGGGCAAGGCGGCCGGACGGGGCGCTCCCCGCCACAGAGGGCACAGACGGTGTCTGTCTGCTTCAGTTCGGCATCCCTGGCGCTGTGCCCACAGCCCGGCCCCTCCCAGGGGCTGCTTCCTGGGCACACGGACAGGTGGGCGACCGGGCGGTGCTGGCGGAAGAGCGGCCGCCTGTGCTGTGGGGAGGAGGCGGGCAGGCAGGCAGGAGCCCCGTGAGCGCTCCTCCTGGGAAACTTCCAGGCGCTCTCTGGCCCGGAACCAGGCGAACCTGCTCTCCGGCTGTTCCTTTTCCAGCGGAATGAGGTTCCGCTCATGGAAGACGTACCGACGCCTTCTGGGCCCCGCGGAGAGAGAGGCTCCTGGCCCGCAGCCACGGGTCCCAGGTCAGGGAGAGGGGGGAGGGCGGGGCCGCAGGGAGGCACAGGGCCGGGCATCTCGGTGTCACAGAGGGACGCAGGAGGGCCTTTGGCCCTGGGGGAAACCCAGGCTCGGGAGGAGATGGACCTGCCGAGGTGGCCAAGGCATCTCCAGTGGCACCAAGACTAGAACCTGGGATCTTAACTCCCAAAGCCCATCCACCTCACCCCCAGCACGCCCCGCCTGGGGGCAGACAGGCACGGATACCAACAGAGGGGGCAGGAGCAGGAGGTGTACAGCTGGGAGCATGCAAAAACAGTTATTCTTGCATCATCATCATCATTATTATTATTATCATTATTGTTCTCCTGTTACCCACACGAACTGTGAGCCTCCGTGTGCACTGAAGGCGGAGAGCCCGGTGCTCCCAGCACAGGGCGGAGGCTCCCGCTGGGCTGTGCACAGTGGAAGGTGGGGGCCTGGGTCCGAGCCGGGCCTCAGGGTCCTCATGTGGGAAATGGGACGATTCCAGCAACATCTCACACCAGCCCTGCCCGGGGGCCGGCCCCACCCTCTGCCCTCGGAGCCTGTGTTGGGAGGGTGCTCCACCCTGCCCCGCCTGACCCCTGCGCGCCCCCACTGAGCTGAGCGGCGTGGACGCCTGTGACACACTTCCCGTGGCTTCTGCAAAAACAACAAACTAAAAATACTGCAAACCGCACCGCGCATCTGCGCCGCCACCCAGGAGGCAGCGAGCAGGGGTGCGCCTGCCGCTGGCTCCCCCGGGGCCGGGCAGGATGTGGGGCCCCCAGCGCAGGAGGGGGGGCCCTCCCGCCCTCCCAGTCCGGTTCCCAGGCAGCCTGGAGCCCCGAGAGCCCTCCCCGGGACGCTGAAACGCCTGCCGGCTCGTTCTCGAACCCGGGGGTGCGGGAGGCTCTGTGTGGGTCCTGACCGGGACACCAGGACGGACGGGGTTGTTTTTCTCAAATGTCACACCTCCCGCCTCCCACCTCCCTTCTGCAGGGGCTCTGCCTCCTAAGCTGCATGGTCTGCAGGAGCATCAGCAGGGGCTGGCGGCCGCAGCTGTACCTGCTCTCAGCCCGCTGTGCGGATGGGCAAACCGAGGCCTGGGGAAGGGCAGGGGCCAGCGCAGTCCACACCGCGTGGCCTGGCAAAGCCAGACCTGCTCGCCACGTTTCTGGGGGACAGCTGCCATTCGGCAGCGGGTTTCCCTGCTCTGGAACCCTCCCGGAGAAGCCAGCCACCGAGGCCGAGCTTTTCCGGGCGAGGCAGAGCTGGGGACCCCGAGCCCCGCTGTGGGGCTCCCCCCTCACCAGACCCCTTCTTCCCACAGCCCCCGCGGGCGGCCCCGGAACGCCACGCCCACTCCGAGCCTCCCGCCCACGAGGGCCCCCCGAAGTCTGCAGAGACCAGCAGGCCGTTCATTCACATCCACCCGCCACCCGCCACGGGGCCCGCTCCCCCTCGAAGGCTTCTCAGAAACGGCTTCTAAGAAATTTCCCAGAGAGAAAAGCGGGTCTCAAGACGGGCCCGCGGCCCTCCCGGTGACGGTGACGGGCGAGGGGCCGTGGGCGGCAGGGACAGCGACACATGGCCCCCCCCCCCCCCCCCCCCCCCCCCCCGGCGCTGGACCCCGCCTCCACCGCCCGTCCTGCTCCCCTTCCTACCTCCCCCGCTTTCTCAACCACAAAGAGCCGCCCTCCTCGGACCAGCCTGGAGCTGCCGCCCACACCCCGTCATGGCGGCTGGGCGCCATTCTCACCGGTCCGGCCCGGTCCCAGGTGACTCTGAGCGCAGCCAGAGGGCCCTGGTCACCAGGACTTTCTAAGGATCCAGTGGACCCCATTCCCCGAGCACAGCCCGGCCGCGTGGCTCAAACAGGACTTCCCAGGGCCCGAGAGCCACTGCGGGGGAGGCGCAGGGAGACACCCACAAACACCACGTCACGGGGCCCACACGTGGGCGGGGGGGAGACAGGGGGACGGTCGTTTCCACACAGTTTCAGGCAGACACAGCGAGGCAATTGGCTCTGGAGCCGGAGAGAGCTGGGTTCAAATCCCAGCTCCGCCACTTACCAGCTGTGTGACCTCGGGGGCGTTCCTTAACCTCTCTGAGCCTCAGCTTCTGCATCTGAAAAACAGAAGGAAAAAATAAAAAGCTCAGAGGTACCGCAGGGAGAAGGCGGGCAGGCCTCACGGGGGAGAGCAGCCTGCAGCGTGCATGGCTCAGGCTCACAGACACCCTCGCCCTCGCCCTCCGCCCTCCGCCCTCCGCCCTCCGCCGGGAGGCGACAGCAGGCACCTGCACCTGGGAGCCCAGGGACCGAGCGCCGGGTTCGAGTGCCGCGCCGTTCATGACAGCGCTGGAGCACGAGGCCTCTCGGACCACTTCCTGCCCTGGGTGGGCGGGAGGGGTGTGTTTTAACCCCGAGGCCCCTCCCGCCCCGGGCCCGGCTCACCCCGCTGCAGCTCAGCTTCCTGCCGGCCTGAGGAGGCCACCCGGGGTCAGGCCCCAGGGGACCGTGTGTCGGGGCGGGGCCTGTGCGGGGCGCGGGGAGGCGCCCAGAGAACGTGTATGCGGACAAGAGGCCCTTCCACAGCCTCTGGGGGCCTCCGCACGCGCAGCCAGAAGCCATCGGCCCTTTAGCCAAGGCTCCTAACCGGATGCTGGTGCCACACCGCGGACCAAGGCCAAGTCCCTCTCTCCTCGAAGCTCACACGTCCCGTCACACAGAGCAGTGATGTTCCGCAGGGCAGCGGGCGGCAGGGAGCCAGCCGGGCGAGGACAGCCGGGCGAGGACAGCCGGGCGAGGACAGCCGGGCGAGGACAGCCGGGCCGGGCGCGGGCCAGGGCACGGGGGCGGGGAACCACGGGCCCGGCGGCAGGAGCGGGCACTCAGCTGCCGGCAGCCACAGGAGCCTGAACGCCGCCGAGTCACTGGATCGCGTTACGGGGTGAGGTCAGCGAGGTGACACCAGGACAGAGCGTGCCACCCAATAGGTGGGCAGAGGGCGAGGCTGCTCTCCAGGCCCCCTCTAGCCACATCCCCCGGGGCTGGCTCGGCCCCTAGGGAAGCAGCTGCACCCCTGTGGGCAGGGGAGCTCCCCGGCCGACGCCCCCTTTCGGTGCCAGAGGATACGCCTCCGGAGAAACCCATGGGTGGCCCCCAGAACACAGCTCTGCCCCCACATGCTTCTCGGGGCCTCCGGGGAAGGGGCCCGTCAGCTGTGGGCGAGCAGCGACGTCACGGCCCTGCACCCCGTCTCCCGTCCACGCACCCTGGGCTGCGGGGAGCGTGGGGGCACCTGCCGTGACAGGGGCTTTCGGAGGGGCGCCCAGCCGTCCTGGGTGCTGACACGTCCTCACTGGGCAGCGGGAGACGGATGCTGAGAGCGTTTGGGGCCTCCGTCTCCTCCTCCAGAAAGGAGGGGCACGAGCGTGGGTGAGAAGGTGGCTCCCACCCCGGCCGTGTTGCTCAGTGGGTAGAGCGTCGGCCTACCCGGTTCATTCCAGTCCAGGACAGCCCCAGAGAGGAGGGCCCCAAAGCCCCAGCCTGACCCGGGCCGTGATTTCTCTGTTTCCCTGGGAGCTGTCCCCTCCCTCGTGGGGACTTTCGCCAGGTCCCCAAGGTCCGAGCCTCCGTGTGCTAACCTGTCCAGAGCGGCACCGAATCAGGACCAACGGCTGCCTCCTGGGATGTTTCGTCTGCAGCACACAGCCGTGGACGGAACGTTCCGTCAGCTGTGACTTTTATATATATATATATATATATATATATATATATATAACAGGTTCATAACAGTGTTTAGGTAGTTGTTTGTCCATGTTCCCAATGCTTATACTTGGACCAGAAGGCCTAATGTTAGAAACTATGAGAAAACATCAGTAATTCTGGGAAAATAACAGTAAATAGATGAGAACTCGCATAGAACATGTATAAAACACTTCTCCAAGTCTGTTGTTAGTTTATAAAAGGTATCTACGATCCAGGAAATCCTTAATTAGAGTTCAGATCACATGAAACAGTGTATAAATCCTATATTGTTTACTTAAAGGAGCCTAGAATGGTAAATGTATAATGTATATATAATTGACTTTTTACAGAGAGGAAGAGAGAGGGATAGAGAGTTAGAAACATCAATGAGAGAGAGAATCATCGATCAGCTGCCTCCTGCACACCGCCTACTGGGGATGTGCCCGCAACCAAGGTACACGCCCTTGACCAGAATTGAAGCCGGGACCTTTCAGTCCACAAGCAGACGCTCTAGCCACTGAGCCAAACAGGTTTCGGCCAGCTGTAACTTTTAAAAATCAGAAAAATCTCACACACACACACACACACACACACAAAAAAAAATAATCTGGACTCTGGCTTCGCTTCTCAAAGGAAGGGAAGGTCCAGCAACCCTGGGCTCGCATTCCCCATCGGTGGAGGCTGCTCAGCAGTCACTTCCTTCGGTCAGAAGCTCGCCAGCTGTCCAGTGTGCCCCAGGCCCCACCGCTCCCTATGACCTCACCCAGACTGCCTTATCCACTGGCATCTCCCGGTGGGACCCTGCCCAGGGTGCTCTAAAGATCTCCTCTGGCTATGACATGCCACTGGGTGCTGTCCTGCCCCCCACCCCCCGGGGTAGACAGCAGAGGGCCCCAGCCTGAGGCTGAGCCTCCAGGGCTGCTCCGGCCGCCCCGCGGAGGGGAGAGGCCTGCCTCTGCCAGGGCCCCGAGCCCCGGTCAGCGAAAGCGAAGAGCCTCCGCGGTGCCCCCCGCAGGCCGAGCTCGGAGGCTGAGGCCTCTGTAATCACCCGCCGTGTAACAAAGCCCCGTTTAGAAACCTTAGGGAGGCCCTGCCCGGAGCACGCTCTCCTGGGCAATTTCCTGACGCTAGAATTTCAGGTTTGGCCAATGCATCGTCTGACATTGACCCTCCTCCAGCGAGGCCGACACCCGCCGTGCAAGTTCCCGCTGTCTGCCCGGCTCTGCGGGAGCCGAAAATAGAAGCAGGGCGGCTGCACCCCTCCCTGGAGCCACGCTGGCGGCCTCCCAGGCCGCGGCAGCCAGCCGGTCAGGCAGAGAGGCGGTGACAGCGCAGACGGCAGGGCCCTGCCTCCGGACAGACACCCCCACTGAGCCCTACTGCATGCCCAGAAAGGACCTCACTAACTCCCACGTTTCACCCCGATGTACTGGGGGGGGGGGGTGCTCCAGGCTCGGAAAGACGAGGGCCCCTCGTGGAGGGCGCAGCAGCCAGAGGTGCTAGAGCAGGCCTGGACCCCAGGGGTGTGCGGCTCCACATCTGGGTTTGCAAAGGAGACCTGAGCCTGCTGGGCAGCTGGGAGGGAGTGGGAGGGGGCGGGGGAGGGGGCAGAGGAAGGCGAGCAGGAGTGAACCCTGGGTGGGCGAGGGGCCAGGCTGAGGCTGGGGGACACACGGAGGTCTGGGGCCTCACTAGAAATCAGAGAAATGCAAAAAAAGAAGAGGAAAAAAATAAAAATAAAAAGGAGCCGAAACCGGTTTGGCTCAGTGGACAGAGCGTCGGCCTGTGGACTGAAAGGTCCCAGGTTCGATTCCGGTCAAGGGCATGCACCTTGGATGCGGGCACATCCCCAGTAGGAGGTGTGCTGGAGGCAGCTGATGGATGATTCTAACTCTCATCGAGGTTTCTAAATCTCTATCCCTCTCTCTTCCTCTTTATAGAAAAATCAATAAAATATGTTAATAAAAGAGAGAGAGGGAGAGAGAGAGAGAGAGAGAGAGAGAGAGAGAGAGAGAGAGAGAGAGAGGGAAAGAATACGCACACAGGGTGAGACATCGCTCGACACCCTTCAGCCTGGCACAACGTCCCAGGCCCCATGACGCCGGGTGTCGCGGGTTCTGCAGACCGGCCAGCTCACTGGCCACCTCGGCCAGGCCCGCGTTTCGCACACACCCCACGAGGCACGCTGGCCAGCGGCCCCCTGTGCCCGGTGCTCTGTCTCCCCGCCCTGCTGCTCGCCCAGCTTCCAGGGAAATGGAAGGGAGATATCCGGGCGCTTGGAGCGTCTTCTGAGGCCTCGATAGGAAGTGTCGGAAATAAAACAGAACCAGGTTCTGTGTGTAGCTGTTCGGGCGTGACACGGGGAGGTCTCGCTCGGCACCCCCCGGAGCCCAGGTCCCGTCGGTAAACTGGAGCCAGCCCTCGCCCTGGCCCAGGGGGAGCTCGGCAAGCCCGGGCCCCCGTTCGCTCAGGAGCGAGACCGTTACGGCTGCTGGCGGTCCCCTCACTCTCCTGGAGGAACCACCTACTCTGGTCCGGGATGTGACTGCAATGCACTCTCCTCCTCCTCCTCGTCCTCGTCCTCCTCCTCCTCGTCCTCGTCCTCCTCCTCCTCGTCCTCCTCGTCCTCCTCCTCCTCCTCCTCTACCTCTTCCTCCTCCTCCTCCTCCTCCACCTCTTCCTCCTCCTCCTCCTCTACCTCCTCCTCCTCTTCCTCTACCTCCTCCTCCTTCTCCTTCTCCTCTACCTCCTTCTCCTCCTCCTCCTTTACCTCCTCTTCCTCCTCCTCCTCCTCCTTTACCTCCTCTACCTCCTCCTCCTCCTCCTCCTCCTCGTGGGCGTCCTCCTCCTCGTCCTCCTCCTCCTCCTCCTCCTCCTCCTCCTCCTCCTCCTCCCAGGGAGAGGCCTCCCGCTCTGTCCCCGGCCCGCTGGGGGGTGCTGGGAGGGGAGCTGGACAGAGAGGCCAGGGCGAACACTCAGAGGACAGTCGGCTGTGCTTAGACATCCGTCGGCCCGTCTCCAAGCTGCTTTCTGGCTTAACAGAGCTGGTTTCTGGCCAACTGAGCTGAGTTCGCGCCTAATTCCAAGCAGACGGCTCTGAGTCCTGCCCCCACCCAGCCCCGGGCTCCCCGCCTGCTGCAGGGGCCCAGCGAGCAGCGGGGGCCTCCTGAGGGGGGGTATGAGCGGGGGGTGGGCTAAAGGGAAGCTGCAAGGCCTCCTGGGGGCCGGTGGGAGGTGGCTCAGTCCCTCACACACCACAGAGGCCCAGATGGGAGGTCCATGTGGCATTCCACTCGCCAGAATCCAGGCAGCCCAGGCCCGCCCTGAGGCACGCCTCCGCCACAGCCCATGTCACGTCCAAACAGCCACACGCACG